TTTCAAGTATTAAGTGAATAAAACTCAAAGTCTTAGCTACTCATTTTATAATTTTAAGTCAATGAGCTAACATAAGTGTTAATATTATCAATAAGTTATTGGAACTACAGAAAAACTTTTAATTCTTTGACAAAAACATAACTACAGACTTTTGGAATGTAGTGTATAAAATATTGTTATTAGAAACACGTTACTTACAACATCAAAATTTGTTAATATTGCAGAAGAAAACTTCTAACACAATGCGTTAAAATGGCATTGTAATAAAGTTTATAAAAGAAATAGAGGTTTGTAAAAGCATGTTAATAATTATTAACTATTATAGTAATATTTAATACAAAATTTCTCTTCTTTACTCAGAATACATACTGAACTATTTCAAACAGAAGATTAAAATTCAGTGTGTACGTGTTTATATATTAAAATACTTATTTTAATTTAAACGGAAATAAATTAAGAACAAAGCTGATTTACAATTAAAAACTTATTGTTAAAATATTTCAAGTACATTGCAGGAATTTTTATTAAGCTAAGGTAAATAATTTTATTTTATTTACTTTTGTTATTAACCATTCTTTATTGTTAACCACAGACCAACTGAAGCTAATTCATTTTATAACAACCATATTTAACTTATAACAAAGATAATTATTATTTTTTTCACGTAACAATAATTATAACTCTTAAAATTTATGTTTTTTTATTGGATTTAATTTTTTTAATTTAAGATCTTTGGCCTTCTACCTGAAGGCCTATGTAAAGGATTTTTCTTACCATGGGCCTGAAGTACAACTGCCGCTTTGCATCCTCGGGTCATACTTTGCGCCCTTAAAATCACTTTGGGCCCAAGGGCAAAAAAGTTTTTTGCACCCTCCAGGCCCAAAGTACTTTTCTGCTCTAGAACTCAAAGTGACTCACTGGAAGCAAAGTATGCCCACGGGCACAAAATTTCACTTTTCGACTCCGATAAGAAAAACATTATACGCGACTCAGGTATCAATATACAACAATCGCCCCCTTAGTGCACTGATATTTGTACTTTGTGCCCTAGTGACGTAACGTACCAATAATGCATTAACGAGTCATTTATGTGTGTATATATATATTGTAAGCGTGCGGTGGCTCAGTCGGCTAGGTCGTGGATTGGTTCTTAGGAGACCGTGGCTCGATTCCCGGCCAGTACTACATTTTGGGCTAGTGCTCCGTAATATTTCTTATGTACTTTTTCACCACGCAATGATCCTCGTGAAGGAATGAGCGACCTTTACGCAGCCAACATTACCTCAATTAATGGAAGGCCTCCCATCTCTTTTCTTGTTCCTTTCCTAAGTGCTAAGTGCCCATAGTAGTGCCCTTATTAAAGGAGCCGGACGTAGAGTACTATCATATAAAAAAGTATATACATTAATATATTTACTTGTCTGGCTTCGTCTTACTGTGCGCTTTGCACGCCAATCCTTTTTTAATGCATTATAACCCTGTACATAGGCTTTTAAGTAGGAGACAAAAAGGTCTTAGATGGAAATATCCTCTACATGGGCTTTGAACAACAGAAGGTAAAGGGTCTTTAATAAAAAGAACTTTCTTTATATCCACGAACATGAATTAAAATAACTTTTAATAATAATTACATAGATAAAATAAGTATCTCTAATATAAGTTAAGTGAAACTGTTTTAAAATAAGTAATCTGTAGTTTTTCTGTAGTCAACAATTTGAAACGGCTATCAATAGAAGTGAATAATATATTGTTATTATATCTAATAAAAAAGATATTATAGCATAGTACTTGAAATGTTTTTAAAATTTACATAATTATTTATTAGTATTATCTTTCATTTACATTTTTATCAATGAACATAAATATTCTGCTATACTAATAGGTACACACTGACATTTAATTTTCGTTAAAAATAGTTTAATCTGTGTTCTAAAAAAAGTAAGAAAATTATGTATCAAACGTAACAGTAACAGTTGAGAATCATGAACATACTATTAAAATCTTTGCTAATTCTTCTATAAATTCTATTGTAGTGTTTTTTTATACAATTTTTTTGTCAAGTTTCATCGGCAATGGCAATACATTTTATTGTGCTCTAGGTTACAAAAAAATGAGTTACGCCGTAAATATATTTCGCTTTCAAATTTTTATTTATACATGAGCCAACGTATAACTTTACCATTTATTTGCTCTTTTATGCAATGTACGTAATGTTTTTTCATAATTATGTTGCATACACTGCAGCCAAAATTTGTTATTATGTTATTATTTTTATAAACTTTTCGTTTTTCTGTAATCCAAAAACATATTAGCAAAATTCACACCTAATTGATCTGAGTGGCCTGGAATTATAAAGAAATAGCTAAAATTTTAAATTCTTTTCATCTTATATTCTACATTGTAAGAAAACGTATTAACCAACTTATCTTATTACAGAGAACGCCTCTGTATTGCTACTATAACTGTCATTAGTACATGTAACTAGTACAGGCTTGTTCATCATCCATCCTTTTCATTTATTCTACGCCAATAATAAAGGTGCATATAAAAAGTAGAAAAATTACGACGGGTGGCAGTAAGGAGTAGTGGGGGGCAAGAAATATCGTGTCAAGAGACAGCAAAGGGGTGATTGGAGGCATTGGTGAGGTGGTGGGGGCATCTAGGGACCTAATACAATATTTATTGGGTCAAAATAACGTAGGGAGAAGACAAAATTAATTTTTGAGGGGTGGGAGGTCTTTTGGAGGAGGTGCAGGTGGAGGGCAGTGGAGGGGCAGTAGGCGGTTCTGTAAAATGCCCCACACATTTAACTATGTATTATAGGAGTATATATAGAATTATGTGTGTGTGTGGGTAAGTGTGCGTGTGTGTGTAAATATATTGTCTGTCAGAAAGTTCTTATCTGTTTCTGAAGTGGCTAGTTAGTGTGAAAAGTCAAACTCATTATTAAGGCTCGTGTTAACAATGAATGCTTTATTAAGGTAGTTGTTTCCTAATTCAAAAGTATCTAAAAAGGTACTAAATTTTCAGCAAAACTTATACAAGCGTTAGGAAATATGTGTAAAAAATTTGAGACTGATTTACCTCGTCGTTATTGAAATATTGTCGTTAAAAAAAAACACTCTTTTAACATTGGAGCATTGGTGCAATCACTACAATAGCCCCATTATTTTAAAAAGTGTAACTTACCGCATATTCATAAAATATTAAAAAACTACTGAACACTACCTTAGATATTAAAGAAACATATACGTTTTTTTTTAAATTTTTCACTACATAGTTTTATCGTAATAGTGATAAAAAAAGTTGTATTCGTTTAATTTTGAAAGATAACCAAGTAAGTATCGCGTATGCGGCAACGTCACATTGTCACATGAGTACTATTGGATAGATAAATATGTTTATGTACGTATGAGTGTACGTAAAGGCATTAATATTTCTCTCTGATTTTTTAAATACGGAATGATGTATTAACATAACCCTAATATTGTATATCTATATGTACGATTGACCTGTATATCGGGAAACAACTACCTTAATTTTTTTTAGGCTAGTCAGCTCCCTTTGTTGCGTACTAAATGATTTTTTTTTATTCATTAAGAAAAAATGCAAGAAATTGTAAAGAATTATTGGCTTAAAAGCACTTTCGTGAATGGACCTCATTTAAACTTCAGATACTATATGAGGTGTTGCTTAAAATATCGCTGTCTTTGTATCTACATAATTTGAACAATAGTTATGATATACTTATCATGGAAGCAATGAATGAAATAAAGATAACTGTTTTGTTACTTACTCTGAGAGATTAGTTTGAACTAAATTTATCTACGAGACAAATTACAAGCCAGTTAGCTGGGCACAGACAAATAATATTTAAGACCACAAAGATATTTTGTTTAAAGCGTATTAAATAGGTCAACAGAGGCAGAGAACTTAAAATACTGCAGTATACCGTAAGTTTTCATTTATCAGGTACTATCTAACAAACATAAGATGTTAGTTTTATTTTATTAACCAGTCAGACTTTTTAAAGAAGTAGAAAAATTGTCAGTTAAGATTAAATACACTTAACTCATCTGGCTAAGTAAAAACTTTTTACAAAGCCTAAGGTTAATAAACACGATTTTTCCCTTGTTATTAAGGGTACATAGAACAAGAAAAAATTGATCTTAAAGGTGTGGCTTGAAAAAAAATTCAATTTTTTTGCGACACGTAAAGGCAAATTTGGATTGCATTTCCTCATATACAAATATACTACTTTTGGGGTTATATTTATTACTTATACTTTTAGCTTTTATATGTTCATAATAGTATAAAAAATGTAATAACTTTTGTACGTGCAATGAAATAGAGCATTGTTATTGTTTTTGTGTATTATACATTTTTTAAATGTATGTTATGATTTCTAAATAAACTTTTCTAATGTCTGTTGAAATTAAAGTTTTTATTATAGCTGCGCTGTAAGTATAAAAAGTATCTCCAATGTCAGAGACTAGAATCAAAGTTATTAATAAATGTGTCATAAACATAGTTTATTCATACTTTCATAACTCATACATTTACAATTAATACTGCTTCGTACACCTAAATTTTTAACTTATATCAATTTAAATGTAGGAAAACTATTGTATATAAATGGATAATGTTGTTGTTGAAGTTGCATTACCTTCTAAGCCATTTAAATTGAGTACCGTCTTGAATTATAAAATGTTTTGTAAGCGCTTTTTTTTCTACATCTGTTGAAACAAAAATTTTGAGGACACATTAAACGATCCTTGCAATAAAAACGAAGCAATTTCATAAAAAAGTGTAAAGAGAATTTGAAGTACTAGTTCAATTAAAAATAATATTAACTAATGGCAAATGTAATTTGAACAATGATAGTAATAAAAATAAGTAATTAAGGTAAAAATATTTGTATAAAGAATATATCTTTGTTAAAAAAGCTTATGCTCTTATTAAATAAAAGTGTATACTTAAGGAACATTTTACTTTCGTAGGTTTAATTAATAACGAAACAGCTTCACTGATGCTGATGCCAAGATGTGGTGTGAAAGATAAGTACAATACTGGTTTAGAAAATCGATTGAAACGATATGCTCTTCAAGGTAAATATATTGTTTGTCTAATAAAAGTCAATTTACATCTTTATTGGTATAAGAAATTGATTTCTAGATATTTTATACTTGAAGTAGATACATCTGTTTAGACCTATGTGATGACCCTCTTATAGACTTTTTAAAACAGAATCAATTTGTTAATATGTGTACAGTGCCTAGGGCCAGTCCCATCCCTACAACACCACGGTACACATTTAACATTTCATTAAATCTTCTTTCTCATTCTTCAACTAATTTTGCTAAAAATTAAAAAAGACAGTTTCAACTAATTTCTAACTGGCAATCTCCTGCACTTAAGACCAATGACCTTATTAACCCTGTTATGAAAGGTTTCGTTACGGTTATTTTTGTTATGGTATAGTTTGTCACTTTATTTTAACTAAAATATCAGGTAACTGTTGTAATGTATGTATGCAGTAACGCTAGCAATCACTTTTTACATATAAATATTTTTTCTTTCACGCTTTTACGCATACTCGACCCTTTTTTTCTTGTTTCATAAAAAATAAAAAACTCATTCATTGATTAAAAATTTTAGTAATCTTATCTTAAAGTAATGATTCATGCCACAAATATAAGAGGATTACCACAGATTATTTTCTTATCAATATAATTTTATGTGGTACTTCCATAAGCCTACGTTCTTAACCCAACGTTTTTTTTTGAATGTAACATTTTGAAACAAGGTACCATTCAACGATCTGCATTTTTTCGTAGATGTATTTGTATGTTATTAAACATATAATCTTAATGTTTAAAAAGTATTTATCGAAAAAAATCTATGTATAATAAACGTCCAGCAACGACATTCACTGGCATATACTTTACTGAAAATGGAGTAGTACAAGAGGGTAGTTTTTTAGCCTTTGGGATCCAAATAATCCCTGGGTATTAGAAATGGACTAGAAATAAGTAAGTAAGCGTATATCACAGATGTGAGCAAGCCACTAGAAATGTTATCAACATGTATTAATAAAAATGATAATGATTATAGCGATTTGAATCACGCCGATGTTGAAGATAATTATGATGATTATACTGTTAATAAAAATAAAAATTATAATAACAATAATAATTATAATAATAATAATAACAAAAATATTAATTTTGTTGTTGAAGATAATAATAATAATAAAGACAATAATGATGACAATAATAATAACGATGATGTAAGCGATAATGAGGATGACGATAATAAGGATAACAATAATAACGATCATGATGACGATATTGTCAACAACAATGATAATAATGATAATCATGACGATGATCATGACGACTATGATAATGACAATAATTATAATAATTATCATAATGATGATATTGATCATAATAATGATGATAATAATGATGGAGATGATGATGATAATAGTGATGATGATAATGATGAGAATAACAATGATAAGGATAGTGACAAGGACAAAAATAATGACGATGATAATGATGACAATAATAATATAAATGATAACAATGGCGATAATTATAATAGTTAAATCAATGAAGATAGTTAAAATAATTATAATAATAAAGATAACAATAAAAATAATAATAACGGTGTTGAAAATAATAATAATGACGAAGATGACGATAATAACAATATTATGTGTTTTAATAAAAATAAACATGATAATCGTAATGATTATGATGATAATAATTATAATGATAATGATATTAATCTTGATAATAACGATAATGACAATGATAATGATAATGACGATGATAATAATAACAATAATGATAACAACGGTGATGATGACGATAATAATGATGATAAATGTAACGAGGATTAAAACAGTTATGATCATACTGACAAGGGGCCGTACATAAACCACGTGGTCCCTTCAGGGGGGAGGGGTACAGCAAAATGCTACGTGAAGATACGTGGGGGGGAGGGGGGGGTCAAACCCCAAGCTATGTGATTTTTAAATTTAATAAGATTTTAATTAGATTTTCAAAATTACCAAGTATAACTAGGATATATGCCTTTAAAATAAGCGCGTGACATTTATATATGCAGTGAGAAAAATTATTATTGATACGCCGACGGTCGGTAACGAAAAACTGTATTCCAGCCTTTTCCAGACCTATTCCGGCATGCACCGTTTTGTTGTGATAAATCTAACCTCGAGTGTTAACGTGTATACGTCTTCTGTCTTTTTTTTCCGGATCATATTAAGCACGATCGGCAAAAAGTTTTTACTTTTTACTCAACATTTAATTTGAATTGAGCATACGTACATATAAATGTTGATTGCAAAATGACTTTCTATAGTCGTTTTTACGATGCGTACTGCAAGGTTTACACCAGTAATTTTTCGGGAAAAAAGCTGCAGGATAGTGCAAATCAGTTATGGAAATTAATGAAGGAAGACAAAACATCTTTTCCTGGAAATGCTGAAAAAAAATCAAGGAGCTTCTCGAGCGCAAAATAAAGAAAGATGCAGCTTTAATTATATTTTTCTCTCGAGCCGTAAGTTTTATCAAAAATGAAAAAATGTAAATTATCCCACACATCAATCAGAATACCTGATTGGTATTTTATATACGAAACTATACGTTTATTCTATTAAATTTTTTTTAGTCATCGAATCCAAGTAATGCTGGTGGTACTAATATCAGTGGATTGTCATTGTCGTCAACAATAACAGACGTTGAGGATTTAAACATTCATGTTGAGGATAGTAGTGCTGCTGGTACTAATATCAGTGGATTGTCATTGTCGTCAACAATAACAGACGTTGAGGATTTAAACATTCATGTTGAGGATAGTAGTGCTGCTGGTACTAATATCAGTGGATTGTCATTGTCGTCAACAATAACAGACGTTGAGGATTTAAACATTCATGTTGAGGATAGTAGTGCTGCTGGTACTAATATCAGTGGATTGTCATTGTCGTCAACAATAACAGACGTTGAGGATTTAAACATTCATGTTGAGGATAGTAGTGCTGCTGGTACTAATATCAGTGGATTGTCATTGTCGTCAACAATAACAGACGTTGAGGATTTAAACATTCATGTTGAGGATAGTAGTGCTGCTGGTACTAATATCAGTGGATTGTCATTGTCGTCAACAATAACAGACGTTGAGGATTTAAACATTCATGTTGAGGATAGTAGTGCTGCTGGTACTAATATCAGTGGATTGTCATTGTCGTCAACAATAANATATATATTTATATCCGTTTTGTTTCATAGATTCGCGAAAAGCTTGGCCATCCTCGGTTGGAAGTTAATCAACCAGCTTTGCTACAAGTCATTGCCGATATAGCAATTTTTGGTGGTGCTGCTGATGATCGTCGCCGATCTGAATTGATAAGGAGTTGTAAAACGTTGGATGACCTACAAGGTAAGTTAAAACATTTGGATTATTCTTTATCTCGGACCGCAACGTATTTAAGACTTATACCAAGGGATTCTCATACAATTGAGGGAAAAAGGTACGTTAAAACTGTTCCGGTGAAACTCTGTCGTGCTCAAAATACAGCTAGAAAAGACCACCGAGATGGAAAGTTTTGTACAGCATCGATAAGGTAAATAATTTGAATTTACATTTCAATAGATTATATAAAATAGTGAAATTAATAGAAACGTTGTATCAATATTTTTTATTTAATTTTTTAATGAGTTGAACAACTTATTTCCACTTTGGGTTCTGATCAGGTAGCAGTCATTTCTCAGGATGACAAAAGTAGAGTCCCAATTGGACTCACAGCAGCTAATAAACAGGCTCCCCTGTTGATGCATCTAGAGTACAAAGTGACACTCCCTGATCACGACTTTGTCATAGCATCCCAACATAAACTCATACCGAGTGTGTACGCTGGCATTCATATAACCAATGGTAAAATTGGCGACGCAAAAAATGTGAGCTACTCGGGACCCACATACATAGCCATTCGTAGTGCCAAATACTGCTCGAGCACTGCAGCAACACATGCGTATGACCTGCGCAAACTGATTCAATTGGAGTTTTTCAAAGAAATTGTTTATGGTATGATACTAAATATAAAATGTAATGTTTAAAAATAGAGTGTATATTTCTTATTTTCGATTTTTTTCCTACCCCGGGCGTTTTTGAGAGGCTTATGTGCCCTCGGTAAGAAAAATAGGGTTTGCCACGAATGTGCACCCGGCCCTGGCGGTCCCAACAGGAACCGCCTTGGAGAGATGCACATTTGTGACGAAAACTATTTCTTATAGGTAAACAAAAACATGAAGTGAAACCAGTTTTCGTCATCATGTGCGACGGTGGACCAGACGAGAATCCTCGTTGTGAAAAAGTGATTCATTTTGCAATCGATCTCTTTCGATTTTTGAATTTAGACGCTTTAATCATTATCACTAACGCGCCCGGAAGGAGTGCACATAATCGTGTGAAAAGGAGAATGGCATCACTCAGTCATGAATTATCAGGGCTTATTTTACCACATGATCACTATAGGAGTCACCTCGATTCCGCTGGGAGAACGATCGATAAAGATCTGGAAAAAAAAAATTTTTGTTTAGCTGGAGAAACCCTAGCTGATGTGTGGGGTCAAGTAATTAATAATGGATATAAAGTAGAAGCTAAGTACGTAAATCCAGATTGTGTTCTGACTGACGAAACGATGGATAGAGTAACAAGTGAATGGTATTATACACATGTTCAGGAGAGTCAATATTATCTTCAGGTATGAATCGGAGTATCCACATTAGATGAAAAAATATTAACATTTATGAATTCGCAATCTTACGTACCGTATTTTTTTCACAAAATTATAACTATAGATTACTGAATGCAACGATCGAGAATGTTGTGGTGAATGGAGGAGTAACGTAAAAGACGTATTAGCTACGAGTAATGGATTTCTACCACCCCCTTTCACGCTGTCTAGAACTATCAATGGATCTCTTGAAATCCCGACTCCAGAGAATGCCAGCGAAAAAGACATGTTCCCAGACTTATTTCTGCGTCAAGCGTTAGGTTTGAAACCTATCACTGATAC